TACTGAGACACAAAGACGCTCAATTATTCAGTTCAAAACCAAGAATTTCCTAGCTACTCTATAAAAAAAACTTTGCTAAGTCATTCTTTCCATCTCTCCTTATTTTTATGCTTCAGAAAATGATATAAATCTCGACAGAAGTGGTTCTACGGAGATCATTATTCCAATACCATTATTTTCATTCATTTGATATACTTCTTGCATATTCAATATGAGATGTCTGCGAGATGAGTTGATGAGACGCAAGTGTAAATCGTAATTCATGTTATTGTTAACAAAGCAGATTTTTCCATACTACCGACACAAAAGGGACACGTCGTCCCTCAGTCCCATATAATCTTTTCAGAAGTGAGTTCTTCAGTTGAATAAGAATGAGCGTTTAATGTAATATTAATATTTTCCATGTCGAAAGTAAGACTTGTATTAAAAAACGCACCAGAGGCTTTTGACTAAATAATAATAGTTGTGAAATGAGGCTCGTTACATTTTGATAACGAACATTTCAGGTATTATAATTCTAAGACCACTTTACATTAGTTGGATAATGTCGGCACAAGTGGAAATGTGGCAAAAAGGGTTCAGGATTGTCGGACTCAGTGTTAGAATGACGGATAATGACGTAGATGACATATGTAACAAGGCTGGCAGAGCTCAATTGGATGGAAGCAGCAGGAATGGATGAAAAACTGAGGAGAGTATGTCCGAAGACGTTATGGTAATGATCAGTGATAAGTTGGACAATAGGAACTTTTGGATATCTAAACTAATTCTTTACGTACTCGTTTTATAATATGTTTTGGGTGACGTAATTTAGAAGCATTCATCATTAGCCTATAAATTTTCTCACTGCTAATTCATAAACCTGAAATGTTTTTCTTTATTATTCATGTCATGTAAATGATGTGCTATATTATTTACTTTTTACTAACACATATAGAAATCATTTCAGTAAGAGTTTTAGATTTGTATTTCACTGAAAAATTAAAGGAATTTTAAAGCATATTTTATTACAAACAGTACTAAATATGCACCTTAAACATGTAATTGCGATGTGTACATCAAAATAATTGATTTTATTCACACTTAGTATATTTTAGTCGTACTGTTGGATAGATTTGGTAAGGTTAGGTTTTATTATACAATCCATTTTAATCAACTGTACGATACATACATTCTCCTTTAAAAGTAATGAAGTTAAAGTTTACCTTAATTAAGCGACACAGCTAAGATTTTAGGGATACAATAAGCCCACAAAGTTTCCCTTAATGTTACAACTGTGCCACTTGCTTGATAGGCTACAACTAACAGGCCAAATTAATCTGACTAGTTTAGTATCCCGGACAACTGGTGTACGATTAACTGATCTCGGTCTGTTATATCTGTTTATTCAGAACTTAACTAATCCATACTAATGTTTAGATATACTAGTTTATTATTTTGTTTATTATCCCCGCTGTAAAAACAGGGGTCTTATAAGTTTGATGCGCACGCGCACGAGTTTGTGTGTGTGTGTTGTGTGTGTGTGTGTGTGTGCGTGTGCGTGCGTGTGTTTGTTTATGGCACTGTGTTATCCTGATCCCGGGTAAGGTGGCACAGTGCTAACGGGTGAACCGACATGCATAATACTTTATTGAGAAAGGTGACTTATGATAGTGTTCTTAGTTATGTTTTATTAAATTCTTCTCTGCCATTTAAACTCTTCCGAGGCAACGTAGAGGTAATCATTTATTTGATGGACCTTTAGTATATCTGCAGCACTAATTAAGTTGAAACTTTATACTACCATATAGCAACTAAAATAACACGATAATAATATGGTGACCTTGAGGTATAATGAATAAAGTCAAGTGTACAAGCTATTAATGAAAATAATCATTATAGACATTTTCCTTTTTTTGTGTTAAGTACTTCCTTGTTTTTTTCCTCTCGGCATCAAATATGTAATTTTATTTTACGAACGTTCTCTTAATCAGATTTTGTATACAAAAAAAAAACTGAATAATAATGGGTATTTCCCCTTTTTCATTTCATTTACGGCTTAGATTATTTTTTCTATATCTAATAAGGTTTTATTTGCTTAATAGAAAACAAAATTAAATTGTTTTGAAACCACTTTTATATATTAAAGTTGAACAAAATTCTTCTTCTTACTCATTTAATGGAGGATGAATTATCTAAAATCAATATTATTTAATGTTCATATGCCTTAAGAATGATATTTCCATAGTTATCTAAAATTGAGCATTTCTCATAAAATCTTTCATTTAAACATTGAAGTCGACAACCTCAGTTTTTTCCATCTCAGAGATAGATAGGTCCTGGTTCCGATCCGCAGTCGGGTCGATGTAGAAAATTAATTTTTCTATATTGTCTCGGGTCTTGGTTTTCTGACACCCTTATTATTTGAGGTACTCCACAATTAAATTATTTTAGGGCTTTAATTATTTTGGGATCTGAGTCTGGGAATAAGATGTCTTAAAAAATATTTAAAAAAAGGAATCACACTGTCATATTAATAAACAGACCTAATAAAAGTTTGTGAAATTCGATGTACCATTATGTACATCGAATTTCACAAACAAAAGGTAGGGCCAATGACAATGGTTTCGTCTTGGGTGATAATTTGTAGTTGTATCATGAAGCCTAGAGTAATTTGAACCAACTGCGCAACTTTTAGCAGTAATAAACAAAATAAAGAACTAATTAATAATAAACTAAACTGCCTTCATATTAATAATAACGATAATGAGTTAACATTAAAATTGTTTTCTTAGGATACCGGAGGGGACGAGTTTCTCTCTTATTAGTCTATCCTGGTGCAGTTATGACAAAAATGTGCAAGCGCTTTCTAAAGCTTGAAATTTTAGTATGTTGAAGTACTATACTTATATTAAAGTATCCCTTCCCTCTGCTGGAGCCAGCGTGGATGACTGATAACCGCTCATACATTACACGGATTTATCAGACTGGGAGAGACCTTCCATACTTTAAACCTCTCCCGCCCGTGTTGGAAGTGGCTGTTTTTTTAACCGAGGGCATGCGATGGTCAGTAGTCGTTCCATTAAATAGGTCAGATAGCGAGAGAGAGTCCCACCTACTTCCAGCCGTTTAGTCTGGCAGCAGGTATAGTCTAGGCTCAAAAAAATGTATTATCATATTAAACTAAATTTATTCTAAAGTACACTGAGTTATTAATTAATTTATCGACATGAAAAACATACTAGTCAGTTTTTAGAAGAACTGTCTAGGCAGTAATAGATAACCTGGAGTAATATACCATCATAGGATACCATCTTGTGGTCTACCTATCGAAAAAATATGACTTCAGTGAAAGTGACATGGGTTTTATGTGTTATGACTTTGTTCTTATAGTTTGAACATACGTACAATTTTTTTTTAATAATTCATAATAGCTATTTCTTTTGTGATAACAAGATTCAAAATATAAGTACTTAATATGCGAATTTTATTTAATTACCGTAATTATATTATAACTGACCAGTTAAGATAGCTAATTTAAATATTTGTTTTAAAACTTAGAAACTTAGTCTGCTTTGCTGCTCGCTGTTGATTTTCTGTTCAAGGTATGTTTATTCACCGGCATATGAAATGCTTTTGACGCTATAATAATGTAGAAACAGTAATAGGAAGGGTTTAGAGATGTAAAACACTTTGCAGGCGACATTTTTTATAATAATCCTAATGGATTGCGAGTGACAGCTTAAAAATGTTTTTGGTTCTTTGTTAGATAAACATTTTCTCTATCTATCACATTGACATGTGTCACGAAATTGTGTCGTTTTAATACAAAAAATTTTAGAACGTATCTTGTCTGAGGATAATATTTATTGTTCTGTTGTTCTGAGTATCTTACATAGGGAAAATAGTTTTAATAGGGAATCTCATGTAGCGTAAAACGAAAAAAAAATGTTACCAACACAATATGTATGTAAGAATCACGCGTGCAACCACAGAACACAGAAAGACGTTTTCCGTGTTCTGTGCGTGCAACCGAACGACGTGGCGATTTCTGGGGCAGGTCTTTGTCGAGCAGTGGACATTCTCCAGCTGAAATAATGTTGAGGATGATGATAAAAATTATCAATAAATGGAACAATTCATTATTTCTTAGGTAGATTATTAAAATTTTGAAGATGATACTGTTATATACATCAATTTAACACGTCATAACGAGTAGAGTCTTTTTCTCATCGTGATGTAGAAGTTAAAGATGGCAGTCAAAGTTATAACGATTTCTAACTTCTTGTAGTCAAAGTAGCGAGTATAAATCTAGTTAGTGAATAAATATGGTATCAACGATGCGAAATATACGGTAAATATTAGAGAAACTGAGTGATATTTGAAGTACAAACGTTGAAGTTAGTTGACAACATTGATTTTGTGAACGACAGTCTTAATGAAAATATCTCGAAGTGTTGCCGAAGCACGAACTCCGTTTCATAGATTGGCTTTATGATCTCACTGTTTATTAATTAACAAGGCGGAGTCGTGGAATTCAATCGCGTTTGCTTCCAAATATGCTACAATTAAAACCAACTGGTTGTGCTACAATCATAACTACTTGATGGTATAGCAGCGATTTATTATTAAAATTTCAAATGATTATACGAATGTTTGTATGTACATTGTACACAGTGTATTTTAAAAATAAGGAATCAGAAGTAAGGGGCATGATCATTCAACTTCATGTTTATAAAATCTTGAAAACTAATTAATCACCAGCTTATCAATGTCTCCATTATAGAAGCACAAGAGTTGCATATAGGAGTGAAATCGATTAGGAAGAACAGGTCAAGTTTTTTAATATTTATATAGGCCTGGAATAGATTGCCGTGCATTTCGGTTCACTATAACTACTTGACCAGCCGAAATCAGTGAAGCGCTGGGTTACTCGTCAAACCCCTACATTATACTCTCTTGCATAGCAAGCCTCGGTAACTGAAAAGGAATTCCGGGAGACTCCAGACTGATCTAATCACATACCATTGGTAAGTTGTTTAATCACATTGCAGACTGACGCGCTTATTACTTTAAATATACTAATATTATAAAATGGTAAACTTTCTAACTTTGGTTTTTGTAGGAATCTTCGGAAATTATGATCATGAAAGTTCGTTCACCTTCGGGAAGTTACATTATACGGGAGTGATATAGTCTACTCGTATATAATTTACGCAAGTGAAGTGTCGCGAAAATGGCTAGTTAATCGTAAATTAAGTAAGTGTCGTATATTTGTGACACAAAGAATATATAATATTCTTTTTATGTGTATAAGGTTCTTATTGCAACTGATCTGAGTGTAGCGTATAAAGGCATAATATGATATTTTAATAACTACCTTAAGACCGTGAAATACGGATAATATTACGTTACCTTCACCATTGTCACAAGCTGTGGATGAATATACAAGTAGGTTTAGGTATCTCTTGTTTTTATTCTGGTAAACATAATCTGCCCTAATAGTTTTTTCTGGCATCTTGTTCTTAACCACTCTATTGCTCAAAAAGTAGTTATATGTATTATGGAAACGGTTTTGGCAAGCTTTGGACTGTATGCAGTGTGATTTGGATTATTTGCAAGTGTCAACATATTGTCAAAGTACGCTATTAGCCCGTCGACGTCACTGTATAACCTAAATTTCAGAGGGCGCTGCAAAGAGCTCGCCAATAATAGGAACGAAGTATAAAAAGTACATGTATGGTTAATTAAATAAGTGATTCATGGTTGATTAAAAGATAAACTCTTTTGGCTAACCCACTTCAAAAAAAGGACGTGCTACAATCGCATTATCAAAAAATCCGTGATCCGATGTTAGGTAACACAAATTTGAATAGAATCTTTATGATAATTGCCTAAAGAATACTTTTTAATAATATTATTTTTTTCTCTCATATATCTCCTCCTGTTGGTGACAACTTAACCAGCCTTATTAAATAAGTGTATATATTTTTTAAATTTGCATTTGTATGACTTTTGTGGTTTTAATTATTTATCTATTTTATTGCAATCTGTCTTTATGTTCATTAAGTAGTGTAAAGAGTAGTATTTTTCTTGCCTAGTTTATCTTGGATTTAATTTTAGTCCATGCTTAAGCTATATTCTCCTATATCTTGAAAGATTTATTGTTTATTAGTATAAAATTTTAAATTTTATCATAACATATTGGTCCATATCAGATTAAAATTTTAATTAACAAAATTTTATTTTATGTTTGTATGTTATTAGATTAATAAATGCATCTAACACAAATCTTTACTTTTTCATGTACATTATAAGTTCAATCAAACATAATTAAATTTTCTATTGAAATATATTATAAGAGTTTGTTATGATGAAACAAAATTTTCCTTTAGGAATATCTAAATTGTCCATTAGAAGCAATTATTTCAAAATTGTACATGAAAGCTCTTAGTTAATAACGCCAATTAAGTAATCTTAGAAACAAATAGATTTCCCTTCTTTACATAAAAACAATCAAGTCAGATTTAATTAATTTTCAAAACAGGTAAACGACGTTGAAATGATTTCCACTTACACAACCATTTGGTTATAGAGTTCATTTGTGCATATTAAAATTATTAGACAGTATTTGAATCTTTATTGTTCTTTAATCGTTGTTCCTATCAGAACAAAAGTGAAATAAGAGTAAAGTTCAATATTGAGCAGGAATCATATTAACTACTAGCTCATGTCTCTCGGCGTCATTTGATTCATTCTAAGTATAAATGAAATGAAATGAAAATATCTTTATTCAAGTAGGCTATTACAAGCACTTTTGAATGGTCCAAAAAACTTTTTTCCCCTACCACTTGTTCAGGACGTCTTTTAGCTGACAAGAAGAACAAGCGAAAGAAACTTATCAGCTTTTTATCATAAGTAATGACATTTACATAAATCATGTCATTACCAAAATAATATGTATTATCAATTTATCACAATAGTAAATACAACTTTCAAAGTCTGTAGGACATAAGTTGAACATATAATTAGTCTTTATAGAACAAAGCGAAGGCTATTAATTCCATGCATTGCGATCCTTAAAATAATCATCAACTTTATAATAGCCTTTACTCACAAGTATATTCTTTACATGAATTTGAAATTTATTTATGGGTAGGTCAATTACATTTTGTGGAACTTTATTGAACATAGCAATACATTTACCCAGAAATGATCCTCTGGTTTTTTGAAGTCTGAAGCTTGGAACGGCAAGTTTATCTTTATTTCTTGTGTTAAGATTATGAACACTACTTTTTTTTGTGAAGGAATCGTAATGTTTTCTTGTATACATAATATTCTCATAGATGTATTGAGAGGCAACAGTCAGAATATTTATTTCTTTAAATATTTCTCTTAGAGATTCCCTAGACCGTAAATTATATATAGCACGGACAGCTCTCTTTTGTAAAATAAAAACATCCTGAATGCTAGCCGCAGAACCCCATAACAATATACCATACGTCATTACACTATGAAAATAACTAAAATATACCAATCTTGCCGTTTCAACATTTGTCAAGAGTCTAATTTTCTTAACAGCAAAAGCTGCAGAACTCAGTCTACTTGACAAGCTATCAATATGAGGATCCCATTGCAGTCGGGAATCTAGTGTAATATCAAGGAACTTTGTCGATTCTACTAACTCAACTTTTTCACTATTTACATTTATAAGTGTACTGACATGCCTCACATTAGGTAATGCAAACTTTATGCATTTCGTTTTTTTTTAATTGAGCTTTAAATTATTATTATCAAACCACTGTAGAACGTTGTCGAGAGCATTATTTACATCGTCAAAACAATCATTACCCCTCTCAACTTTAAACAGTAAAGAGGTGTCATCTGCAAATAATACTGTCTCGCACAAATTCTTCGTAAAGTGAGGAAGATCATTTATATAAATTAGAAAAAGCAATGGTCCTAATATCGATCCCCGAGGTACGCCCATAGTAACTGATGCCCCTGCAGATTTCGCTTCATTAATATCCAATCACTCGAATTAAGCCGTGTGCAGGCTAACACATCCATCTTAAACAATATGATGTCACTATAGACAATATTGGGATTTAATTTAGGTGCACGGTTCTGTGTACAATTGTTTTAAATTATATCTCAACATTTGATTAATAAGGCCTTTCATGCATTATATCAGGAACGCAATTGACTAATTTTAAAATTATATCACAATCTCTTTAAATTTGACATTTGAAAGATATTCACGAAGTTCACTCTACAACTATTGGACATATGACAGCGAATGCGACCGCGACGTTGTTTTGAAAGACATTGAACAAACGATATCGTTGAGTTCGAATTAATTGGAATTATCTTAGGTGCAAATGATTACTTTAAGTTACTTAATTTTTTTTTATTTTTCGATCAATCAAATCATTCAATTTTTTAAAGCGCTTGTGACTTTAAATGTTACGTATTTATAAAAATATCATTTATAATCGCTATACCTTTGAAATATATTGTGATAGATTTTCAGAATTAGACACGGCCATTGCTCTCATGATAAATAAATGGAAAGCTTTCAGATACAAACTTATAAAAGTAAAGATATAAAAAACAATTCGAAATAATTAATGTAATATTACACACGGCTGTTGCATCGCTAATAGGAATGACGATTATTTTTTGTTTGTATGTCTGTCAGGTAGATTATTGAGTAATATTAAATACGTATTTTTTATTTTTGACGTAATCAATAAATACATGTATATATTGTGTTCAAATGTCGCACCACGTCACGCTATGGTACATTTTTTATAAAACTGTGTCGTAGTGAGCCTCCACACCTTAATTATTTTTTTGCATAAATTTGTAACCGTGTGCCGTACCACTGTTTATTTTGTCCTAGGTTTCAGAATGCACACTTTTTGTCTTTGATATTCAACATCATTTCTTTTTATTATTCATTTTTCGTAATTTGAAATTCTGACTAATCAAATATGTTTTTGATGATATACTTCTGTTGTGAACGTGTTATTGTAAAACGCATAAATTTAAATATAAAATATTATAATAATGAAGTTATATCCTGAAATATCGCTCTAGTTTATGTATCACGGCAAACCCAATATGAGGTATGTATTTGTTCTATTTAACAATTGTAATTTTATATTTAGGTAACTTACGAACTGTTTTTATATTCATTTTTTGTTTGTTACAGTTTTTTATTTACTTATTTACCATAAAATAAATAAATACCCAAGCTTAGTCAGTCTTTTATTAATTCGGTCAAACATCGAACCAGTCAGAAATTGAAGCAAGAAAAATACTATTATCTGACTGACGGACTAAATATAATTTCTTTTTTTTTTTACCCAGTTGTCATTCGTATTCCTTTCTCTTTGAACTTTACTAGACATGCTGCTGCGTGTCCGGAGAATGAACGATGACTGACGCTCAATGCGTAACCTGAATTATTTATTTTTAAAAAGTGAATATTGAAAATGGGTTTTTAAAATCCACACAAAGAAATGCTTCTAAGGCTTGAAAATTTGAATTCGTATTCTTTGAAATATATTAAATTGCCAATAAGTTATTTTAATTTAAAATCTATCTTTTCAAACGTGTAATAGTAATTGTGTGTTAACAAAAAGCGATATGTCGTCGATGGACTTGCCATTTTTACACAAAGTTGATTTTTATTTAAAGGTATTATAAGTATATTTTCTATTATGATAATCAAATTATATTTTTCTATTATGATAATCAAATGATATATATATATTTTTTTATATAATTATAAGATTAAAAAATACTTTTGATAATGCAAATTTGCCGTATGTTTAGTCATTATTTTTGTTGTACAACCCGTATTATTTTAACTAGTAACCGACTAAATTCTGAGCGCGAACGCATAATTCTTCTGTGAAGTAGCCAAATTTCTAAGGGTTATTTCGCGTTGTTGGTCAGGCAGGAAACGAGGACTAGTTGCACAATTACCCAGGTCGGTGTATGTTTCACGTACGACTTCCCATCGCTTTGACGAATGAGGCACGAAAGGTTGTTAAACAAACTCTGTATAGTGCTGACTTTCATCTAGGTACCATTTGTGATACATCGGAAGATCTTATAGGTCTTACTTACATCATTGAAGTAAATAAAAAATTGGTCAAGTGTGAGTAGGTAATACTCGCGTTTTGTGGACACAGATATAAATTTAATGTGAAGGTTAATTTTTGGTGAAGAATTATTTTCGGTATTAAACAATTAAGAAGAAATTCGTATTTTGAGAGTTTGCGAAAATTTTGTAAATTTCATTTAAATTACAATTAATTTATTAATATACCAGAGATTCTTATATATTAGACGAAGAGCTTATTTTTTTTTAACCGTTACGTGTACGATTTTTACAAACTTTTATTTAACTTGTTGTATGTATGTTCGTCAAATTTTGCAGCTGAATTATAAAGCATTTATCTTGAACTCAATTTAGTTGAGATTTTGCATAAAGGTTTAATTTAGACAAAAATACATTGTTGGCTAAGTTTAATAATTTTCAATCTAATATGGCGTACCGCTCAATATGGCAGCCTAGTTGTATCGGCACTAAATAAAATGCCTCCCTGAATACGAAGACAATATTACGATAATTTACCAAAAAATATTGATTTGCGAAAAAAACATGTTTGAAACAAGACCCTATTA